ATGATTTTTCTAGTTTGAAGGGTTCAGATGAAGATGAAGAGGAGAATGAGAGTCCTGAGTTTAAGGATGAGGATGTTTTGAATCCTCAATTTACAATTGGAATGAAGTTTCCATCCAAGAGTTTGTTTAAGAAAGCAATTTCTTCTCATGGTATCCAGACTCATAGAAGCCTCAGAATCACTAAAAATGATAACAGGAGAATCTATGCTAGGTGTGAAGAAGAGCAAATGGTTGTCAGTGGGCCATAAATACACTTAAAGTGTGTAATGAAGAGGCCTACCAAATTAGAGCCTAGAATCACAACACTCTTGTGCAAGGACATGGAAAGTAAAAAATGCCACAGCTAGATGGATTGCAGAGAGGTATGTAGAAGAATTCAGATTTGATCCAAATAGATCCCTTTAAGGATTCAAAAGAGATGCAGTGAAAAGGTTGAAGTGTCATGTGTCCAAGGACAAGGCTTTCAGAGCCAAACAATTGCTTTCAAATCAATTGAGGGATCACATTCTCACCAATATGCAAAGATGTGGGACTATGCATATGCTCTGAGCAGAAAAATCCAGGCAACACAATTTTATTGTCATTAACAGATCTAGGACCTGATGGATAGAAAAAATTTGACAAGATCTACATTTGTTTGGCCCCATTAAAACATGGCTTTCTTGATAGTTGTAGAAAATTAGTGGGAGTTGATGGCTGCCACTTAAAGGCTAGCATGGAGGCATTCTTCTCACAACTGTAGGGGTGGGTCCATCAAATAATCCATACCCTATAGCATATGCGGTGGTGGGTGGTGAAACCAAAGAGATATGGACTTGGTTTCTTAAAAATCTGAAGGAAGATTTGATGATTCAGAATGATGATGAATGGACTTTCATGTTTGACAAGCAAAAGGGCCTGATTCCAGCATTTGAAGATGTGCTTCCTAGTGCTCATAACAGATTTTGTGTGAGGCATTTACATGTCAATATGCAAACAACCAGTTTCAGAGGTCTAGCCTTCAAAGGGGCTTTATGGAAAGCAGCTAAATCCACCACTCTTTCAGAATTCAAAGAGTCAATGAACAAGATTGGTGAACTTGACAAGGATTGCAGAGTTTGGCTTGAGGATAAAGCTGCAAACCAATGGTCAAAGTCCCACTTCAAAACAACTCCTAAGTCAAACCTATTGTTGAACAACATCCGTGAGGTATTCAACAACTCCATCCTAGAGGCTAGAGAGAAGCTAATCTTGACTATGTTGGAATGGGTGAGGCAATATCTGATGACTAGGCTCCAAGAGAACAGGGATATGGCCGAGAGAAAGTGGGAAGGGAGGAAAATCTGCCCCAAGAACAAGAAACTTGTAGACAGACATGAAGAAAAAACCTCCGAATGCATCCCAATCAAATCCAATGACTGGTTGTACCAACTAGACTGTAATGATGGTGCTTCTCATACTGTGAACCTGAAGGAAAGAAGTTGTAGCTTCTCATACTCCGAATGCAAACATGCATGCAGTGTCTTATTAGCACAAGGGCATCAACCTGGGGACTTTGTGGATGAATGTATTCTTGTGACACTTATTCTAAAGTGTATGAACCTGCTATTAGTCCTATAACTGGTCAGGTCTATGGGATAGGACAGGCTACATGCCTCCACTTCCTCCAAATTTTGGGAAAAAAAGGGAGAGACCAACCAAACTTAGAAGAATGGGAGCATGTGAGAGTAGTAGTGGAAAAACAAGAATGAAATATGCACAAAAACTTCCAAGGAAAAAGTATGTGGTGTCCTACATGTTTTGTCATCAAAAGGGACACAATCAAAGAGGTTGTCAGTGGAAAAGGTTAGATGAAAGTGGGATTGCAGATGGTTCCTTTGAGATGGAGACACGACGTGAAGAGATGACTCAAGGTGATGATTTTCCATCATTAACTCAGAATGATGATAGCTAGCCTCAGAATGACAATAGCCAAACTCAGAATGATGATTTTCCTCAAAGAAAACTAATTGTAAGTTCTTTATGATTTTTTTTTGTCGTGTTTTACTTTTTTGTAGGTTCTGATATCAATCTCTAATTTAAACAGGCAAGGAAAAGCACTAGAGGAGCTACTTCTTCAAGTTATTTGATATAAGTCTCCTGCTGCAAATTGTGCACCTTTTGAACTTAACCTTTTAAAATGATAGTTAGTCCCCTGATTGTGAGTGGTTTTTTGAAAAGGGGTGTTTTGGGAACATGCTTATATTATGTGAACTCAGAAAGTTGTCTTCTATTGGGAACTCTGAATTATATTATATGATTGGTTTTTGTATGACTGAAATGTTGAAATGTCGTGTTTTATGACTGGTGCTTAATTGAAAGTGGATTTAAGTTCTGTGTTTACATGGAGGTTTCATGCTTGAAGTTTTGTGTTTGCAATTGAAGTTATGCAGTTGTGTTTGTTTCATGGCAGATTTGGTGTAATTCATTGGTTTAACTAAATGCAATTGAAGTTCTGCAGTTTTCATGTACAATTTTGCAATTGCAGTTGTGTTCTGCAGCTGTGCTTGTTTCATGGCAAATTAGCAACAAAATGGTGTAATTTTCATTGAGATTAGTAGCAATACATCATTACACCAAATACATAAGACATGAAAACTACTTGGATACATATTATGCTATGCTTAATTCATGATAAACAAGGCCACCATACAGATTACAAGTAAAAGCAGCAAAATTCTATTCTTCTTCTTAAGTTGTGCATTTTGTTTTTTCCAGTTTCTTCATCTTTTTCAGGTTCTTCTCCTTCTCTTCAAGTTCAGCTCCAGATCCAACATTTTAGCGATTTTTTTTCAGCTTCTAACTGGTTTATTCTACGCAACAAATCGGGGATTATTTGTTTCGATCTTGCACACATCGGTGGATCCAACCAATTCCAAAAACGACAACCATTTTCAGCACAATCGAAGTACCTCCTTCCTGGGTTGGCAGGGGTCCATGAAGTTTGTAAACGAGCAACCTTTTTGCATGTACAAAAAACAACGACCTCTCTTCTTGAACTACTTGAAGAACTCAATATTTTTTTTTTCTAAATTTGTGAAGATGAATGGAAAATCTGAAGAAGAATGAGGCATTTATGCCATTCTGTGCCCGTGAGGTTGCTGCTATAATTTCCCGCAATTTCAGATGTTATTCTCCCTCCAATTTCAGCCGTTAACGGTTTCCGTCCACTCTGTTAGATTTGGGACCAAAATTGCAACGAAAAATAGTTAAGGACTAAATATGCACCTTGTGTGACTAAAATGTGATTACTTAAATTTAACGTGACCAAACTTACAATTTCCTCTCACAATAACCGATACATGGGAGCACCACACCATTGTGGCCTAGAAAAGGATCAATAACATCAACCTAGAACTCGCAACAGTTAAAGAGTAAAGCGGTTAAAACTCAACCGAACTTTTACTCCTATGACACCCTACAACTGCCATCAAACATACTAACTAACCAACTCCAATATAAAAGAAAAATACAGAAATTATACCACAACACAAAATGAAGTATTAAAATGGGGAAATGCTACAATCCCGTTACGGTACCATCCCGTCGGGTGTTTTAACCGTTGGATCATCGATCTTATCTAACTACGTGTAGATCTAAAATGTCTTTAAAAAGTTTAAAAAATGCACCCATTTCGATTCAAAAAAGTGAGGAAAAACATAGGAGAGAAGAGAAAGGAAGTGTGCGTATGATGGAAAGGCTGCTAGACGAATTACTCACCGTGATTCTCGACAAAATAGAAGACCCAATTGATCGGAAATCATTTTCCCAAGTCTGCAAAAGTTGGTTCAGAGTCGAAGGTCTCCACCGATCGTCCCTGCGAGTTTTGGAGGCCGACCGCATCCCCGATTTCTTACCCAGATTCCCCAACTTGCTCAAATTCCTAGCTTCGACGCCGATCAACAGCTCCCTCATCCAGTTCGTGGCCAACGCGTGCCCTAGAATTCAAGTCCTCAACCTCAACCGCAAGGAAACAGACGATGCGTGCACCGAGCTCGAGGAAGAAGCCGACGTCGACGACGATGGCCTTCTCGGCATCGCCACTCGGTGCCGCGATCTGGAAACGGTTTTTCTGAGGAAGAGGATCGCGATTGGGGATTCAGGTACCGCTGCCCTATTAGGGTTCTCGAAGAATTTGAGGAGCCTCGATTTAGGGTTATGCTGTAGGGTTTCTATGAGGGTATCAAGCAAATTGGAGATTCGAAGCATCTGGAGGCATTGAGTCTTCAGGGGTGTTGGTTGATAACTGACTCTGGTTTGGCTTCCTTGGGAGAAGGGTCTTTCTGTGTAACACTGAAAAAACTGAGTCTTGCCGAGTGTGACCGGATAACGGATAAAGGCTTGACGTGCTTGAAGGGCATGGTTTGTTTGGAGGAACTCAACCTGTCTGAGTGCGGGCCGAATGTGACCGATGTGGGTATGGAGATTGTGGCTACATTGTCTAGTTTGAAGGTATTGAAGCTGTCATGGTTGGTGAGCGTGTCGTGTGTGGGGGTGAGAGCTGTGGCTAAAGGCTGCCGGAATCTGGAGGTGCTCGACATATCGGGCTGTGAGATGGTTACATCATGCGCCGTTCGGGCCTTCGCGGGCCATGCCTGTTTGAGGGAGCTGGTGTGGACGAATTATGAGTTCGCCATAATGGCTGATGATCTTGAAATCTTGGTTTTTGGGTGCCAGTCCTTAGAACTTATAGTTCTGGATAAAAGATTCATCATATGGATTACTACGGGTACTCAGGAAAGTATATCAAGCCAGAATTGTAGGCTGGAATTTGGTTGATGGATGAAAGGGCTTGCTCGCGCTGTAACAATATATAGGTATTGTCTAAGAGAAACATCTTTTCTATTGGCTTCTTGATTCAGTGGCTTCGCATTGCAGTTCATATAAGCATATGGGAGTGTTTGTAGTTGCTAAAAAATAAATTAGAAAATGATGGTTGTCCCGCTAATGCTGGCCAAAGCTAAAAGGAAAAAGAAAAAGAGCATAGATATTAGCTCTCAAATGAAGTTGTGGCTCGACTTTTTGCATAATTTAGTCCGAATCTTATAATCGGAAGAATTTTGCTTACAAATATTCTTTTTACTACATACTCGCAAATGCATACTCAATGTAATAGCTTCTTTCTGTTTCTCCCACAATAAATCACTTTCTACAGTATTTTCTACAGGCTCCATATATGTTATTCTCTTTCTCAATGAGCGGTCTTTTGGCCATATGCAGTCTTGATCTAGACGTTTTGTTTTTTTATTAATGATAATTTATCACATATCCTCCTTGTGTATGATTATATTTCTCTTAACGTAAACGTCTGAAAATTTCATTCCAATGTGGTCTTTGTGACGGTGACTTGTGCCTATTAAAATCGAGACTCGAGACTCTGAAGCGCACCCATGGTAGAGCCACATTAGGACAGTTGAGTCATGAAGAATGAGAAGATTGCCGACGAAGAATAATTTTGATGTCTGTTTTTGTAAATTTTATTTTCGTGCTCTGTTGTATGGATGTATTTATATAAAATCTGCTGGAAATTGGCATTTTAAGAGCTTCAACGTGGATTGTATATCATCCTCATCATTTCTGTTATCATGTGAAGTGTGAAGTTTTTGGAGGGTGAAAGTGTTGTTGTTAGGTGGTAGTTGACATTGTTGAATGTCTGGTGTATTGAGCTGGGCCTTCCAAAGTTGGGGCCGACCTGACTTTCCCTTTGAATGAATGCTATATGAATATGAAATGTCATTTGACTAGTAGTTTGTGGTGTTATTTGAGCTAAACCAAGTAATTCGTGTTTGAGCTCGCACTCGTTTAACAAAAGAGTCAAATACTCGGCTGGTTTCAAGTTCGTGAAAACTAGGTTTGGCTTTCATATTATATATAAAATTTTGAAATAAATGTTTGCGAATATCATATGAAATGATCGTCCATGGTCTGAAGATCTCATTCATACCCATAAAAATGTAAAGCTAGATAAAAAACTAGCTGTTCACAAAGAAGCTCGACTATTTGAGCTCGTTTTGTTAGCTACATGAATGAGTTGAGCTCGAGTTGGATCATACTGTGTTCGCATATAGCTCGATTCGATTTATAGCTCTACCAGCAGTTTTCAATGTAACCTGTATAGAGTGAGTTGATATTTATCATGAGCTGACAAAAAAATTACCAAAACATTTATATTATGACTTGTAACTATTCATCAGAAATTATTATCCTTAAAAGTTGGATTTAAATTGATTCTCATGATTTGGCTCCACAAGCTGTGCCATAGAAAAATTGTTACTTTTCGATTTTAATCCCACTCGCCCTAATCAATAAGCGGGAGATGGTTAAGGAGAGCAAAGTGAGACTCAATTATATCGAAGCGAAGCAAAGTGAAGTCATAGAGATTCGATATAATTGACTTCGTCACCTGCTTCCGTTCCTTTTGGTGGCTAGGCTAGATCCCTAAATAGGGAAAAAAGAGGCAGCACCGGCTCAGCAAAGCATGGTTGTTCGCTGTTCAAGGAAGGGGTTATGTTGAAATTATCATAAACTTCAGTGGTCGACGTAAAACACCGATATCCAATTAAACTTTTTAAATTTAATGGAAAAAAATATTTTAATTCACAAGTCTCCATTTTTAATTATAAAAAATGCTACAAGTACATAATAAATGTACATAGAGATGTACATAACACTCACATGGAGTGGGGGCCACTCGAATTTTTTTTTATTTTTGGTGGGTCCCACTCAATGTGAGTATTATGTACACTCTTATGTACAATATTATGTATCTATAACATTACTCTTATATGTATATATTGATTAACTAGAGTTAGTATAACTTTCTCTTTCAATGTTTCATTATCAGTGTTCTATGTTATACAATGATATACATTGATTAAATGAATAATTCCTAATGCGTTTATATATCAATCCATATATAATACGATCATTTGAAGTAAGGTTGTAAACGAGTTAAGCCGAACCGAACTCAAGATCATGGTACTCGAGTTCGACTTAACTAATCGTTGAGCTCCGCTCGTTAAGTAAACGAGTCAACAATCAAGATCGAGCTCGATTCGTTTATAAATATTAACGAGCCGAACTGTCATTAAAAAAAACCCTTTTTAAATCTTAATGTGTCTCGCCGAGCCGAGCCGAGCTGAGTCTGACTCCTTACTAAACGAATTTTAAATGAGCTCTAGTCTTAACGAGCTGAGCTCACAAACGGCTTGTTTCGTTTACCAACTCTAAAATTGGGTATAAAACCAAAGATGAAACTGTAAAAAGAAATTCCAAAGACACTTGCATGTAGCAAATTCTATTGAAGTACATATGGCACACAGATCATATTATATCATACAGTATGTTGTGGCTCAAACATGAACACCACAAATTTTATTACAACACTGAGAGAGAAACGAAAACAGTTTTTATTTAAAATATTCATTACATTTATTCTTCAAATTTGGATTAACCAACTGTAGGAGTACGAACCACGATGCCC